CCCTTGCCCCCTGGAGGAGAAGCGTCAACCTGCTGGCCAGCGCTTCGAGGCACTCGCCGCGCGGGACGGCTGGACGCTGGGCTACGATGCGGAGATGGAGGCGACGTCGTCGTCCGATCCATTATCCCCATCCTTCATTTAGATGGTCCCGCCCCTCCCACCTCCGTCCAGGTCCAGGATGCCTGTAGACCCCCAATGCCCCCCCCCCCGATGGTAGACCCCCACCCTGCTTCAGAAATCGAGTTCACTCCACGCCCCCCCTAGATCGGCTGGGGCCAATGGATGACTACGATGTCGTCGACAGGCGGCGTGGCGCTACAGGACGGACGGCAAGAAGCTGCCGCAGTTCCAGAAGGTCAAGGCCGTTGGCGAGGAGCTCATTGCAACATGGGCAGACGAGTACTCGTTCACGGTGCCTGGCGTGACGGCGCCGATTGGCGGCCGCAAGTCTGTCGGCAATGGCATCCTCGGGCGCTGGACGCACCGCGGCAAGGACGGCGGCGAGGTGAAGCTCGTGTACGTGAAGCACATCAACAGGGGCGAGTGGTACCAGATCACCCACGGTTCCAAGCAGATCCTCGAGCTGAAGGCCTACGCGCCAGAGTTTGATGCGAGGGCGAAGGAGGAGGCGCTGAAGTGGGCGGCCGCCTACGCGAGCTTGGAGAAAGACGTCGCCGACATCAAGTTGCTGAAGATTGAGTTCCTGAAAGTGTACGGGTCCGAGAACTGCCAGGTTCGGAGACATGCTGCAAAGGACCTTGGTGACACCGAGCCGCCAGCGCAGACGCCCGTGACGACGGGCAAAGCCAAAGGCAAAGCGAAGGGCAAAGCCAAGGCCAATCCGTGCTCAAGAGGCCAGCAGCTGCGAAGCGTCCCCCGATGAAGCGCAGGAAGAAGAAATCGTCTGACGACGAGTCGGATGACGAGGACGAGGATGCCGAGGATGACGAGCTCGACTCAGAGGGCGAGCTCGACTCCGATGACGAGGAGGACGATGACGAAGGTGAGCCCGAAGACGCAGCTGGCCAAGACGAGGACCCTGCCGAGCCCACGGATGTCGCCGACAAGAAGCCAGCGGTGGCCACATCC